CCTACCCTTTTATCAGTCTTCCACGAGATGGCACATGAAGGCATCACAAAAACTCTTCAGCGTCTGCGGCGTGAATTTTATTGGACCGGCATGAAAAATTCAGTGGCAAATTATATCCGCGAGTGTCAAACATGTCAACAACACAAGTGGTTAAACTTACAACCCGTAGGATTACTCCAACCGTTGCCAATCCCGGAGACTCCACGGACTACCAGAATCCATTGTCTCAGACAGAGAAAAAAATTTTGTGAGTAACTTTTGGAGGGAGTTATTCCGTTTGTCAGGAACAAAACTTGCCTTTTCGTCGGCCTACCACCCTCAAACTGATGGCCAGTCAGAAATTGTCAATCGAACGGTAGAAATGTTCTTGCGTTGTCTCACTAGCGCACACCCTCGCGAGTGGGTTCGTTGGCTTCCATGGGTGGAGTATTGTTACAACACTTCTTACCACACAGCTTTGGGTGACACCCCTTTCCGATTAGTTTATGGACGAGATCCCCCCAAACTGGTGACATATACCCCTGGAACAGCTAAACTAGAAGGCGTAGAGCAGGAACTCCTGAACCGCGACAGCATCGTATCTGAGGCTAGACTACGATTAGCTCACGCACAGAACCGCATGAAACAATACTATGACAAAGGGCACCGCGAGTTATCTTTCACGGTGGGTGATTGGGTCTGGTTACGTGTGCATCCATACCGGCAGTTAACACTAGTCTCCCGTCACCACAAGTTACTGCCGAAATTTTATGGTCCCTTTCAAGTCACCGCAAGGATTGGTACAATGGCATACAAGCTACAGTTACCCACAGAGAGCCGCATACATAATGTCTTTCATGTATCTCTCCTCAAGCCACACAAAGGACCTGTACCAGAAACCATGGGTTCCTTGCCACCACAAGATACTGTCCCAGAGGTTTTGAGGCCATCCACAGTAATGCGCAGTCGGCTGAATCGCGGGGTAATGGAGGTGCTGGTCCAGTGGCATGAGAAGCCCATAGAAGAAGCTTCTTGGGAAACAGTGGCGTCATTTCGCAAGGCTTATCCGGATTTTAAGCTTGAGGACAAGCTCTTTGCTAACGGGGGGAGTGATGTTGTGGACTCTTTTTGGGGTCACACTTATAAACGACGCATAAATGGTCCAAGGGCCCGAGAGTCTACATCTGGAAATGGCTGAAGTTGGGAATAGGATATAGTTTCCTAATTCTAGTTGGTTTCCTAATTATAGTTTATTTCCTTATTCTAGTTACTTAATATGGCTGAACTGGGAAACAAGGACACTGTTTCCTAATTCTATTTTTAAGTCCTGATTCTAGTCTTGTTTCTAATTATTGTTTCTTTCCTATTTAGAACTTTAAGCAGCCTCTCTATATAAAGGGGTTTTTGCTATGGAATAAAGGACGTTTTTGGGAGAATTAATTTGTGCGTCTTGACAAGGTCGGGCGCCGATTAGTTTAACAAGAATAGCTTCATTAAACTCTGCTGATTATTTTTCTCGTTCCCGATTAATATCTCGAACGCATCCCTGGACTAGGGCTAGCTCTCGCCTCCTTAACAGGTTATCCCAAGTGAGAGTGTGGTCACTCAGCTAGGATGTTTGTGCTCAACTTTTGAGGCAAGAATCATAAAGGACAAGTTAAGCAATAAGTGGAACAAAAGATAAAGTGATGGAGCCTGGAGGCTCGAGGGGATCTCCAACAAAGCTTTACAAACCAAATGTTTGGTGAAGATGTATGGTGGATTGCTAAAGGTTGCATGTCACAAAAAGGACACATATTGGTGGAATGATGAGGTGAAGCAAGTCATAAGGTGATAAGGAACAAAAGGGATTGCTACAAAAAGTTGGAAAAAAGTTGGAGCGATGAGAACATAGAAGCATACAAGGAGTCTAAAAGACAGACAATCAAAGAAAGCTGTAAAGGAAGCACGAGGTAGAGTGAATAAAGAGTTGTATGTAAAGTTGGACTTTGAGGAAAGAGAAATATAAATCTATAGACTTGCTCATCTTTGTGATCAAGTGTGTGAAGGATGTTGATTGGTCGCCCCATGAAACTTTAGGAGTGAGTAGTTAAGCAAAGGCTCCGTAGAAGTTTGAAGAGTTCAGAGAATCAATTTGTTTTTATGATTGGTCGCTCAAAAATTGAGGCCATTCACCTTCATCGACAACTTGTGGAGAAGTATAGAAACACTAACAAGGATTTGCATTTGGTGTTCATTGACTTAGATAAGGCATATGATGGGGTATCTCAAAAAGTTCTTTGGCGGGCCTTCACTAAAAAAGGTATATCACATAGGTATATCAGCCTCGTCATGGATATGTATGAGGATTGTACTACACGTGTCCATCATAGTGTAGGAAGGACAGTAGAGTTTCCTATTACTATCGTAGTGCTCTAAAGATCGGCATTGAGCCCTTTCCTATTTGTTATAGTCGTGGAGAACTTACAAAGTCAATTCAGAACCCAACATTCAAAACATTATATCGTGGTGCATGATGTTTGCCGATGATATTGTATTGATTGATGAGACGTAATCGGGTGTTATAACAAAGTTTGAAGTATGGTGACAAACATTGGAGAACAGGGGTTTCAGACTGAACCGAATCAAGGCTCAATACATGGAGTGCAAGTTTGGTCGAGATAGAAGCAGCAATAACAATGAGATTACTCTCGATGGTAAGGAGATACTAGTCTGTGATATGTTTTGTTACTTGGCCTCCATAATTCAAGACAATGAATTAGATGGAGATGTATCCCATAGAATCAGAACATGGTGGATGAAATGGAAGAGTGTGTCAGGATTTCTATGCTCTCGAGGTATGCGGGCTAGACTAAAAGGTAAATGTTATCAAATTTTATTAGGCAACAATTAAGCCTGCATTACTATATTGCTTAGAGTGTTGAACAGCGAAACAATGTCACGTTCAAAAGATGAGTGTGGTAGATATGCGCATACTGTGTCAGATGTGTGAACATACTAGAAAACCCGCTTGAGAAATGAGACAATCAGACAAAAGGTGGGAGTAGCACATACTGAAGATAAGATGTGGGAATTCAATTGCAGTGATTTGGTGAGTAGAAGACCGAGTGATGCACATGTCAGACGAGTCGAGAGATGTGGAGAAGAGACGGGGACAAGATAGAGGGAGAGGAAGACTCAAACAGACATGTATTAGAGAAGTCAGGAGCGATATGCTTCTTCTTGGGTTGGATGAGGATATGACTTTGGAGAGAGCAAAGTGGAGGGCGCGTATTCATATGACAGATTGATCTCTTATCATCCTTTAACCTTCGTCTTCTTTTTCTTCCTGCTTCTTTTTATCCTTTTTACTATATACTCCCTTCATCCCGCTAAGATCTTTCTGCTTTCTTTTTTTAGCAATCCCAAAGAGAAGTTCTCCTTTCCTTAAATGAAAAGTTATCCTACCCAAAACAGTGTCAAACAGTTCTAAACAATGTCAAAATAGTAAATTTTATCCCCTGGTAAGTTTATTTCCTTAATATGTGTGTAGGTCAAATATTTATTTCCTTCACATTCGATTTTTTTGATGAAATTTTCATGACATGTTCTTCATCAAGTATAGTTTATCCACACAAAAATCAGCTAAAAAATCAATCGGGAAGAAAGTCAAATAATTTTTGGAAGATAACTGCGTTTTATATGCATATAAAGGGCACAGTTATCTTCCAAAAATTATTTGACTTTCTTCCCAATTGAATTTTTAGTTGATTTTTTGGGTGGATAAACTAGACTTGATTAACAACATGCCATAAAAATTTCATCAAAAACATCGAAATCTGAAATCTAATGGATCTAAATATGTCAAAAATGTATTAAAATGGGTTTAAAACGCGGTGACATTTTTGTAAATAAGTCAAAGTTTTTCTTCTTTGCAAAATGTGGATTTCATGTGTGCAAAAGTGTATCATGGACGCCTGGATAAGAACAAATGGACGAAGAAAATCATCTAGGTACAGTAGTACACTTCAAATGACCAAAAGTGGAGACATTCACATTTCTCATGAGAAGACCACTTTTTATTGGAACCGGTCCCTATATTTTTTATTTATTTATTTTTTGTTATTTTTTGTGTTTTTTTTAACCGGACCCTACACACACACATATATTCTTTTTACCCCATTCTATCCTATCATTTTTATGTATATCTTATCTCTTTTCTACAAAGTATTATCTTTCTTATCTTTCTTTTTCTCTTGATCAATGAACTGTAACCAAAAGTTAGGCTTAGTTTATGAGTCTATAGTTTCTAATGAACCATGCTCAAGAAACAATGTAAAGATTAATGCAAAATAATTGTATACAGGGAGAAAAATCACAAAATGGTGAGCAACTTGATATTTAAAACTGTGTTGAATTATAGAGTTATCACATCACTCAGACTTCATAATAAAATATATATCTAATTCAGATAAGAAGATTGAAATTGAGAGAGATATGTTAACTGAGAAAATAATGAAAGAGTACTCTTTGAAGGATTTAGCTTAGGGAAAAAATGGTATGCATGCAAACACACTGACATCTATTCATTCTTATTATGCTTAGTTCAAACAAACTACAAAGCATAAATAGATCCCATTAAGTTAAACTCCAGGCACTCAATCCTTTGAAGTTGTAAAGGAATGAATCTGTGGCCATATTTTTGAAGTCAAAGAAAAAAGAGTGGCACATTCCTAAGCATTTAAATTAGCGTGACAATGTGAATTCATAGATAGTTCATAGTTGGAAAAAGGTAGATAAAAAGGAATCAGGAATTAAGTTTTTGAAACAATTTAAATAATAGGACACCCAGCAGATTACAGAGTAATCACAAAGGACAACTAACTAAACAACACCTTAAGAGGTATACATTTAGCCATTTAGAAAATGTCCTCATTGCCACTTATATGCACTAGTAGAGCGAAGAAGCTTGCTCAAGGCAACCCTTTAAAATAATGAAAAAGGTGAAACATTGGTATTTATGAAACAATTAACATAGTTACCTCAAAATTTCCATCACTAATCAATCTTGCGCTGTAGAATTCTTTGGGACATCGCAAGGCTAAATCTTCAGAAATATATCCAGTTCCATCTGTGTGTATGCGGGGTTCTCCATCTTCATCAAGGACAACATGACCATTTTCATCCTACAAAATTAGTATTCGAAGTCCATGAAAGAAAATTATTATCTTTTGAATGAGAAAAAAGAACAAAATATGCAACTGACACTGCAAACACAACTGTTAAATAGGAATTGAAAGAAAAAGTTTAGTAAGCATAGTACCAGGCAGAGTATATCTTCAATATCTTGAACATCCACACAAGCAAGATTAACCGGAAATTTTATTGTCTTTGAGAGGATTAATGAAAATCTGCACTGAAAACACAGTTCAGGCACTAATTTATAGAGAGAATAAATAAGTATGACTCTCAATTAGAACTGTTTTACAGGCAACCTGGCTATATACTTTGACATGCTAGCAACTGTGTGTACATGCATAAAATGTGACCTTGCTTCATTAATCTTTTTCGTAGCAAATGTATAAGACATATCGTCTTTGCATGGCCCAATTGAATCAAACCGAACAAAATAGCATTTCAAAGAGGCCGGCATTCTTTTTGTTTCGTCGAGACTCTTCTTCCTCTTCTTCTCTTTGTCATCTTTATAGACTACAAACCCAAACAGGATAAACAAATTTGTGCTTACTGGTTACTACATACAAACCACCAATAATTTGACATTTCATTTTAGCATTCACATTAGAGGAACCTATTATCACATCAAAAAGAAAACTGAAGATTAAAAACATTGTTCTGGTCTGAGCTAAAGACGAAAATTATTGCAAGGAATAAGCATTGAGGCATAGATAACAAAATTAAATATTGCTACAACTCCTACAAGAGGTAAACGTTGACAAGAAAAAAGTTTCCGTTGTTTAAAGGAAAATTAATCTCAAAATTGGAACAGAACTGAAGAATCAGATATTAGATCACATCTACTAAAACAAATTAGAGTCCAGCATACGCACCAGATTTTATAAATTTAACTAGTGAATAATCAACATAAATCCATGCAGCATATGAGAGATTACTAAATCAAATAAAATATTTTATTAGGTTACCAAAAAATCGGTAGCGCCTCACGCCTACAAATATTCCTTCATCTGCAACTATCTTAGCACAACATTCATTTTCTGAAGCGAATTTGACACACAACACATTCTCATCCCCAAGAGCCCTCTGTAAATGAGTTCTTGTTGTGTCCAAAAGAGGCCCCTGGGTGAAAGGAAGACACCAAATAACCATGGAATTTAGAGAATATAGATACACTAGTCATGCAAACTGAAAATCACATTTCTTTTGCACAGAGTATACCCTCGCCTAGTGGCTAGTCAGGCGAACTGGAAATCACAATAAGGACACAGTAAGTCTTAATTCGTACACTGAAGGAGTAAATATTGATATCGGTTGTATCACAAACCTTAAAAGTGCATTGCCCTCTTTGGTCAACATTACAATGATACATATGAGTCTTACCAGAATCCCAGTCCAAGTACTGTCATATAAATAAGAACATGGTGAAATTCAAGAGACAGAAAGCCAAAGAGATACTCAAAGCTGTAATTTTTCACTAAAGATGTAAGATTTTAAGGGAAACTTAAGTATAACAAAAACATAGCTCGGCAATTGGAGCTATGTTTTTCTCACTAAAGTACACCTATGTAATTTCTCACAGAAGTACACAACTGTGTCATATGAACTGAATGAAATTCACACACCTTAGGTCTTTCAGACCCAACATAACTTCCATGGCCATGGACATTCCATATACATGATTCAAATTCTGCCATAGGTAAATCTCTAAGTTCGAGAATATCCCTAGCGGCATCTAGAGATATAACTTCTTCCAGTTTGTTTCTGAAAGCATAATGAAATAAGATATGCAAGCAATACCACACCATGCTCAGTGATATGTCAAAGCATCTAGTCTAGTTAAATGAAGTTTTCAACCTGCCAATGTAGCTCAATATTAGAAAAAACTTCCGAAATTCAAGTTGGCTTAGCAAGTTTAACTGTTCACTGATCATTAGATGGTTTGCCCTCTCATTAGATCTTGGCTCACCAAGAAAAGATAACAGCCGCACGGCTTTTGGTGGACTCGGCCGTTCTGAACTTCCTGGAGCATCTGAGACATACAACAAATTTAATCACCTCTACTTACCAAAATAAGGAACAAACACTTTGTAATGACCATGGAAAAACAAGCTGTTTATTTTTCAGTACCCAAAATTTCACAAACTAAAGAAAAAATCAACATTACAAAGTAACACTAATTTTTGGCATGGTAAAAAGGCACTTCAAGGCTCACCTTGGCATGAGGCAGTAAAAGAAATATTATACCACGAGTTATTCTTCCTATTAGGTTAGCTTTTTGTAATGAAAAACATGTCTACATATAGTATCAGATCATTCTGTTCGTTTGTGGGTTTGACTGTTCCGTGTGTTAGCTAATGGAAAAAGTTGAAAATGATGAACTACACTATTGTTTATACGAAATGATATATATTGAATGTTTAAGGATTTTTTTAGATTATGTTTAACAAATGTAATATTTCAATTGAACATATGATGAAATGTAAAATTAAGAAATATGAAACATTTGATAAAATTAGTTGTTGAATAAGCTAGTGCATTTGATTGTAAGATTTAAGTGTTGGATGTATAGGGACTTTGACAATATTAATTTATTTTTATTTTCATATAAAATGTAATTTAGTACATTAACCTTGTCTCACATTTCGATGTGTAGACTTAACATACATTAAGTTCACATTACTTGGTGTTCTATAGTTTTTCAATTAACTTAAGTTCAAGTCAAATGCATAATTAGCGAGCTAAAGTAATACTACCTCCATCCCATTAGAAGATTCACATCCACTATTCACATGGTCAACTTAAATCATTTTTAATCTTTTACTTTATAGATCAAATGTTTGAATATAGTTTACATTTTCTTTATCAGGCTTTGTAGCGGTTTTAATATAGTTTCTGAATATGTAAATTTTATTTACTAAAAATAATCAGAGTGTGAACAGAGATTAAGTTGGATTAAGTTGCTTTATCGCCAGGCAAACATCGTAAACCGTCAACGGGAACCTTCTAGCGGGACGGAGGGAGTATGTAGTATAATGACACCACAAAACCAAGCTAGAATTCATATGGAAGTTGGGGCTCTTTATGTGCACTGGGCATAGGTCTGGTCTAACTTATTTCTTTATTTGTCGTGACAGGATGTTGGGTTTCAACCTGGCACGTCTATCTCTGATGCCACATGTATACTGTGTGCATTATTGCATTGGAAATACTCTTAGACGGATAGTAAAAGGTAGTCAGTTACCGAGCGTGTTTGGCATTTATCGATTAGCGGATAACGGGTTGTTAGAAGATATTTGACTGGCAGAATAAGTTGACCGGTTGACCGAAGATGTTTAATTTAGCTGTTTGGCCATAAAATTAGTAGAAAACATTATTTTCAAAATGCTAACTCAAAACTCTCCTATTTGCTATGTTTCTATGTTTCTATTTCGGTAGTTCCGGCCAAAAACGTTAGGGCCGAACATCTATTTACCACTCATCATTTTCATTTATCGGAAACGCTGAAGTACTCGAACCCCAATTATTTTTAGCTGAAACAAGCCATTTTCCAAACACCCACTAAGAGGTTGGACCAAATGTCCAAATGTAGCCATAAGCTTGTGATTGTGAGAGGGATGAACCTTGGAAAGAAAAGTAGCGAAACAAGCCGGAGCGTTTCCTGGGAGTAGAATTGGGGGTCCTGGTTCCTTCTAATGCCTTTGGAGGGGAAATAATGGGGTTCCTTTTTTCCGCAGACTTCCCTGCTGGGCTAATGCTATCTTCACGGAGACACTCTGGGTATCTGTTCAGCATGTAAACTATGAACCCACTCAAGCTTCTGACATTCCGAGCGGCAACTCTCTTCAAGATTTCCTTGGCCCCTTCTTCTCCGATGGCGGCCAGCCGCCTCCTCAACACGACGTCCGGCGGCACCTGGGACTGCTCCGAACATATCTTCTGTAGCAACGCCTCCACGGCAGGCGGCAGCGGCGACTCCAGTATAGTGACCACCGACTCTGGAAGTGGAAAGTCCTCTGCCAATGGGTCCACTTCCATTTATTTCAAAGTTTCTATTTTTATCTCTTTTCGAAATTTGAAAGAGTTAAAGAATGTTGGAATTTGTGTGGCCTGGGGAAGGATTCAAGCTTGTTGGAGTTTGGAAGTTTCCATGTGGGGGTATATAAGGACCCGTTTGGTTAGGCCGTGTGTATGTGGAAAGGGAGCAGCTTTAATTAGGGAAAAGACAGGACTTTCTGCTTTTGGTTTGCTTTTTCGCGAGCAAGACGCTTGCATGCTCACTGATCAGAACCTTAGCACAGAAGCATTGTGGAAAAAAAAAGCTGCTAAGAGTAATGTGATGTAGAGTTAGAGTTGGGCTCATCATTTGTGTATTGAAGAATTATTGACCGTATGAGATTCACGTAAGGATGTCAAAAAAAACTGACCCGCCCTAGCTCGAGACATTTGGGGCGGGTCTGCCCCGCCCCGTCTTGCAAAAGGGGCGGATTCGCCCCGCCCCGCCTATACAATGGGATGGGTCCGGATATTAGAATTGATCCGTGCCGCCTCGACCCGACCCGCTCAATATATAAGTATACATGCTTTTTCTTAAATTATACTACAAATATACTTCAACATACATATGTGTGTATACAATAAATCATAAATTCTTTGATCTTATAATATATGAATATATATTAGAATGAGATGCACGACGGATTATCAATGTCTTCTTTATATATAGAATTTTAATACATATATTCAATTATTAATATAACTAATTAGATTAACTATTCAAGTTTGAGTAATTTTTCTTTAATTTTTGATTTAATATATTGTTTTTTAATTATTATTTAGAGATAAACATTATGTAGATTCAATTGGTAACAACTTCTCACAAATAAATTAAAAATACATACTAGCTAATTAGGTTGCGGCGGGGCGGGGCGGGACGGACCCGCCTCGCCCCGCATGGGGCGGGTCATGGGTCAACAAGTTTGGACCCGTGCAGGTCACGGGGCGGGGCGGACCCGCCCCGCCAAGCCACGGGGCGGGTCCGGGTCTTGCAATATCCGCCCCGCCCCGACCCATTGCCATGCCTAGATTCATCCGTGCAGATTGCCGAAAAAAGCGCTCGGTGTATTTACGGATTGTCCATTAGACGTTTAAATTAAGGAAAAATTCACCTCAATAATCTCAACTATCCGCAGTCTTCCAATATTAATCTCACCTATAAATAATTCTAGAATAATCTAAATTACAAGGAGCATATTCTCAAAACAATCCGGTGACCTGCGTAAACCCATTCAGCAGGTCACCCGAGCACGTGTCAGATTATTACTGGTCTATCATTTTCTTTTCTTAATCGTTCCTTCTTCTTCCTCTCTGTGCATTCCTCTATTCTTCCTTCTTCCTCTATGCGCATTTCTTTTCTTTTCACCATTTCCCTTCCGTTTTCTTCTTTCTTCTGGTAAGGTGTACAACTCACAGACCATGATTTGGTAGATTTTCATTTTCTTTTTTTTCTTTTAATTTAGGAATATTTAAATTGGTAAACCCAATTCAAATTTTCCCTTATCGAATTTGGCTTCGATCAAATTTTAGAAGCTCTGTATTTACTTCTAATTTGTTAGAAGCTCACCCAACCTTTGCTTTTTAAAAAATTATCTTCTCTACTTTTTCTTTTCTTTTCTTGGGGCTTGAGCATAAAGTGTTTTTAGCAGAGTACGGACAACAGCTTGTCCATGTTCCATGGTTGCTGTCCAGACTAGCCGTAGATCGTCGTCGGGCGTCCGTCTCAGTTGCACTTCACCATCGGTTTTCCATCCGACCTAGTTGTTCTTCAATTGATTGTCGTCCAAGTGTCTAATCCTATTGGTTCTTCTACGAGGGCCCTCCGTCCATCCCAACCTTTTTATCGTCAACACTCGTCCCTCTCATCCCAGCTAGTCTGGTCTCCATCGTCGGTCGTCTGTCATCTCGTAGCGGCTCAACTATTTTTTCTTTTTTCTTTTTACTTGTGTTTACCGGCTGAGTAAGTTATAGGTAAACCGTAAACCGGATCAATAAGGGAAGGAGGCCTGTAAACTTGAGATTATTCTAGAATTACTTATATGTGGTATTAATATTGGAAGACTGATGATAGTTGGGATTATTAATGTGAATTTTTCCTTAAATTAACAAATTATTCAGATATTATTTGCAAACATATGATCTCTTATGTACTATGTATCACTTATTTCCCCTTAAAAAAAGTTTCCATAATAAAATGACACGCTTATTTAGATAATACTATACTATGTATTAAATAAGATAATTTCTGTACATTTTGAGAAAAAAAATTTAATAGGTATATAATATAATGAGGTTCATATTTTTTTAATATTTTTATAAATCAATTACAATATATGTTCATGTTACTGTCAACATCCTTGATTGGGATGAGACCCGAGCATGCGACCTCCTCATTATGGGATCAGCAGTGATGTCATTAGACCACGAGGTACTTGACATAATTGGGTTAGTGTTGATAACTGTGGTGTTATAAATTTATTATATATGATATTTAATGATTAATTTGTCATTTAAAATTGTTACTTGATTCCTAAAATGAAAATTGGAATATTTATATGGGACGTCTAACAAAAGAAAGTGGGAACCTTTGTATGTGACAGAGAGATAGAGTATAACTTCAGTTCGTGTATTATATACGCAGGTGTACGGGTGGGAACTGTACATTCAGGTTTATTTGTAAATTTGTTTAAACTTCAACCCAATTTGAATAAAATTTTATGAACACAAAGAAGGCCCACAAAAAATGTCCAACATTTTAAATTACTAGGTGGCATGTTCGTAATTAATGTGAAAAATGCGATTTCTATTAAATGAGCATTAGTGTACTGTTAGCGACCATCAGACCAATTCTAATGAGTATTATGAGAGTAATAATGAGCATCGTGATATTACAAGATATGTGTTGATGTCACGGTTAACGCCCGGTGGCATTTTTCGTAATTTTAGTGAAAATTGTGACTCTCATTAAATGAGCTTTAATACATTTTTAGTGAGCATCAAACATATTCTATTGAGTATTAAGAGTCGAATAATTAGTATCATAATATAACCTTCATATATTGAGTATGGGTTCGATATTTGAATCTAATGCATAACATTTTAAAATGAGTATTAAACAAATACTAATCGAGCATACATAACATACAAAATGAGCTTCAAAAAAATTTAAATGAGAAAACTTATGAAATCTCTAGTATACTCAAATATTAAATGAGAAAACTTATGAAATGAACATTGAAAAATTTAAAGTGAGAATTACACCAACATGCATGGATATGACATTTTAAAATGAGCATTACACCAATATCAAATGAGCATACATACTTACGAAATGATCATCGAAAAATTTAAAATGAGCATTACACATATATGCGACGTGAAAATTCAAAATGAGAATTACATCAATATCAAATCCACATACATAACTTATGAAATGAGCATCGAAAATTTAAAACGCTCGTTTAAAATCTCTAGTATGCCTCAATATTAAATGAGAATACATAACTTATGAAATGAGTACCGAAAAATTTAAAATGAGCATTACACCAATATGACATTTTAAAATGAGCATTACACCAATATGACATTTTAAAATGAGCATTACACAAATATCAAATGAGCATACATAACTTACGAAATAGGCATCGAAAAAATGAAAAAGCTCATTTAAAATCTTTAGTATGCTCAAATATGAATTTGTTTAGGCTCACATCAGTATAACACATATAAAGAAGCACCAATTCCTTATTTCAGACCAACCAAATTAATTGTGCTTATTAGAAAAATTAAAAGAATAGAAAAAAGAAAAATGGAAGCGGAAAAAGAGACTATGATGAGACAAATTATTTTTGGGATCATGATTTGAGTGAGTGAGATTATTTGATGAGATTATTTGACAAAATAATCCGGGATTTGAAATATGATACCCGATTATTTCAAAATAATTATGAAATTAAAGTTAGATAGTTAGTTAGTGTAGGAATCACCAATCAAATAGAGTATGATTATTTTAAGGTTATGTGTGATATAATTTATAAGGTGAGAGATTATTTAAAAATGTTTGTAGCATAACAAACTTGTTTATAGTAGAAAAAATGGAAATGCTCTTATATAAACAGGACCATGTCGCTTTAAAAAAAATAGGTGCTATATACTCACTAATTATTTCTTCAACCATGCTTGATGTACTCACTCTTACACCCACCTTATACCAACCATAGTTTTGAAGTGTTTTTTTTTATGTGAACCCGGTTCACAGACAATATATTGTTTGTGTAAAATATTTTCTGTGAACCGGGGTTCATAGACAAAAAAGAAGCACTTGATAAACATAGGTAAATACAAAAGTGGATATAAGAGTAAGTAGATTTTTGTTATTTCTCTTAGAGCATCTCCATTCATGTTCTCTGAATAAACGATTATTTCATAACACATCATTGCCACATCACATTTTTCAATAAATTTCAAATAATTTCAAAACTTAAAACTCTTCCACAATAATGCTAAAATAATCAGTTTTTTCCGGACATGCATTAAATGTAATTTAACTACAATCTAAAATAATCCGGGATTTGAATCTTGATACCGGATTTTCTTTTTCAATAATCTCACTAAATAATCTCTTACTCACAATGATAATATTTAAAATAATCTTTCACGTCATCCAATTGATCTTCAAATAAACTCATGAATGAGGATGCTCTTAGAAAAGGCCGCAAAATAAGAAAGACATAACCTTCATATGGGAGAGGGGCACCTGGTAAGGAAAAGTAACGAAACAAGCCGGAGCGTTTACGTGGGGTAAAATTGGGGGTCCTGTTATCTTCTAATGCCTTCGGAGGGGAAATAATGGCGCTCCTTCTCTCCGCACATTTTTCTTCTTCACGGACACACTCTGGGTATCCATTCAACATGTAAACTATGAACCCACTCAACCTTTATGAGAGAATAATTGTGATGGAATGGCTTACCCAATAGGTAGCCCTAGGCATGTATTTATAATAATCAATATTAAGAGTAATTACATAAGAGTCCTTATAATTACACTATTACACCCCCTCAATCTGTGCAGGGGAAGTCACGTGCAGATTGGAACGTAAAAACTCAAAACGCTGACTAGACAAATTTTTAGTAAAAATGTCAGCTAATTGAGACTGAGTAGGAGTGTATTTAACAACAAGATCTCCATGGGCCACTCTTTCGCGAACAAAGTGATAGTCAATCTTTATATGCTTGCTTCGATCATGCTGAATAGGATTGACCGCAAGATAGGAGGCCGAGACATTGTCACAAAATAACTGAACTGGAGAAGATATCCGAATGCCCATGTCAAGGAGCAAGGAGCGAATAAATAATGTATCCTGGACTGTGTAAGCTACTGCTCTGTATTCGGCCTCAGTGGAAGACTTGGAGACGGTAGGTTGCTTTTTGGAGCGCCAGGAGATAAAATTACCACCGAGGAAGATGGCATAACCCGTGGTGGATCTGCAGGAATCCGGACATCCAGCCCAGTCAGCATCCGAATAGGCAACAATCAGCGAGATACTCTGTCCAGCGCGGAGCCATAGTCCGTGAGATGAAGTGCCCTGTAAATACCTGTAAATTCTTTTTACAGCAGCAAGATGAGTAGTACGGGGAGCATGCATAAACTGAGAAACCAGATGTACAGCATAAGTAATATCAGGTCTATTAATAGTCAAGTATTGCAATGCACCTACCATATTGCGATATTCAGTACCATCACTAAGAAGATCCCCATCTGTAAGAGATAACGTGGTGCGAGATGGGAGGGGAGTTCGAACTGGTTTGACAGTGTGAAGATGGAAGCGGTGAAGTAAATCAATAACATATTTGTGCTGAGAGAGAAACATACCTTGCGGAGTGCGGCGAACCTGAATACCAAGAAAAAAATGAATGTCCCCAAGGTCTTTCATGGCAAACTGACTGGATAATAAATTAATGAAGTGACGAACGAGAGACTCAGAACTACCAGTAATAAGGATGTCATCCACATATAATAAGACATAAACAGTACGTGACTGAGAGCGGTATGTAAACATGGAAGAATCAGACTGACTTTGTAAAAAGCCGTGAGATAATAAAAAACCACTGAATCTATGAAACCAAGCGCGAGGAGCTTGTTTCAGACCATAGAGAGCTTTCTTCAGTTTACAGATATGAGAGGGATAGGAAGGGTGAATAAAACCTGGGGGCTGACGCATGTAGACTTCTTCTGTAAGACGACCGTGAAGAAAAGCATTTTTAACATCTAACTGACGCACCGCCCATCCTTAAGAAATAGCAACAGAAAGTACCAGACGAACCGTGGTGGGTTTAACCACCGGACTAAATGTCTCAGAAAAATCTATCCCAGCCTGTTGATTAAACCCTTGAGCTACCAAACGAGCCTTGTGGCGCTCAATAGATCCATCAGAGCGGTATTTTGTTTTGTAAATCCACCTACATCCAACCACATTTTTTGTGGTATCACTAGGTACTAAATCCCACGTATCATTAGCAATAAGAGCATTAAATTCATCTGCCATGGCTGCCCGCCAAACTAAACTTTTATTTGCTTGAGAAAAACATGTGGGATCATTTGGGAGAGCTAAAGTATTCAAATTAAAAATTGTTTTTGGTTTAAAAATGCCATCTTTAGCTCTCGTGCGCATGGGATGGATGTTGGGAGCCATAGTAGGAGAGGATAGTATCGGTGGGGGACTGTTGGGTGTCGGTGAGGGACTGGTGGATGTCGGTGAGGGGCTGTTGTGGTCTAAAAAACTGCTGGTGTGGGAGCTGCTGGACTGGGGGGAGTCAGGCGGAGTAAGCTGCGGGGTGAGGGTAGACGGACATGGTGGCAGACTGGGAATGGCCACATGACTTGGGGACGAACTGGATCTGTCCGAGGAACTGGGGGTAGGACTGCCGTGAACTGGAGAGTGAGCATGGACCGGGTTGTGGGAGAGCTGGAGTTGAGGGATAGGTAGAATGGAAGGAGAAGAAATAGTCCAAGGGGGGAGAATGTTAGGTGGGGAAGGAGCAGCAGTAGGTTGTTTAAGAATGTTATAAGGAAATGAGGTTTCTTGAAATACTACATCCCTACTGATATAGACACGACCTGTTCGGGGATCAAGACAGCGATAACCTTTATAACCAGGGGCATAGCCTAAGAACACACACATAATGGATCGTGGGGAAAGTTTATTTGAAGAGGATGCAATGAAATTAGGAAAACATGCACACCCAAAAACACGGAGAAAATTATATTCAGGCGGTTTTTGAAAAAGTATCTCGAACGGAGACAGACCACGCAAATTAGGTGTTGGTAAGCGATTAATAATGAAAGTAGCCGTGTAGAGCGCATCAACCCAAAAAATGGGAGGTAATGCCGCCTCTATAAGCATAGTACGAGAAAGTTCCAAAAGGTATCTATGCTTGCGCTCAGCCACACCATTTTGCGCGGGTGTATCCGGACAAGATTTGCGAAACAAGATGCCACATTTAAGAAAATGATTTTGAAATGCAGAATTGACAAATTCACCACCACCATCACTTTGAAAACATTTAATTGTACAATTAAAAAGATTTTCTACTAACTTTTGAAAATTACAAAAATGAGTAAACACTTCAGACTTTTTATGCATAGGATACCCCCAAGTATATCTAGAAAAATCATCAATAAAAGAGACATAATATTTAAAACCTAAGTTTGATAACACAGGCGACTGCCAAACATCAGAATGAATGATTTGTAATGGAGCAGTAACAGTACGAGTAACATCAGAAAAAGGAAGGCGATGGGACTTGCCCAGTTTACACGAAACACAATCATGGGAAAAAGTACTAGTACTAGTAATTAATTTATTGTTCCTAAGGACTGAAATAACACGATCCCCACAATGACCAAGACGCTTGTGCCAGACTGGACCAGAGATAAGCTTGGTTTGTAGAGCTAGAGACGGAGTAGGCAACGGGGCTGCTCTAAAGGGATAAACTGAGTCCTTATTGGAGGCCTGGAGAAGTATGGCTCCCGTGTGATTGTCCTTGACAAAAAAAGTATTTTTATTAAAAACAACAGAACAATCATTATCCGCACACAGTCGTTGTATAGATAATAAATTATATTGAAGGTGCGGAACATGATAGACTGATTTTAACAAAAGTGGGCGGGCAGCAGTAGATAAACTAGTATTACCAATGTGTGAAACGTGAAGATTTTGGCCATTAGCAACACGCACAGAAAATGGACCAGAATAAGGAGACTTATTAATTACAATACCTTCATGTGGGGTCATGTGAGCGGAAGCACCTGAGTCCGGGTACCACACAGACGCATTTGTTTCACCCGTAGGAATGGCCGCCAAGGCTGGTGTAGAATTAGTGAAACGAGGACAATTTATAGCGGAGTGACCTGGGGAATAACAAAGTTGACAAACAACAAGCGGTGCAGGGGATGGATAATTATGCTCAACAGATGGGAATCCTGCAAAAGTGGGGTGAGTAACACAAGTAGATAAAGCATGAATACTATATAAACTAGACCCAAATTTACCCGATGCCATACCTGGAAACCCAGCCTGTTGAGGAGCCCGAGGAGGAGCTCCCTGCTGCCACCCGTACGGTCCAGGCACTGGAGCAAGAGGAGGATGACCACATGCAGGCTGTTGGTCGTAACCTCCCTGCTGTCCTCCATAACCATAGCCGTGTTGTCCTCCATAGCCTCTACCACGACCACGATGTCCTCGAGCGCGACCACCACCGCGGAAGCCCCTGCCCCCATTACCACGAGCTGCTGAACCCCCTCGGCCCGGAGGGCGGACTGCAGGTTGCTGCTCATGTGCCACAAATGCTTGGTGTCCCGGATGAGCATTTTGAGTTCGAAGATAAAGTGCCCGTTGTTCTAATGCCATTAATTGGGGCCTCAAGGATTCAAAGGTAAAGCTATCCGGGAATAAAGTAACAGAAGTAATGACTGATTCATATTCATGTCCCAAACCAGCAACCGTTTGCTGAAGGAGTTCACGATTACTGATTGGAGAATTGATTGAGTTTAGGGAATCAGTCAAAACAATTATTTCCCGCAAATAGTCATCCATGGATTGGTCATCCTTTTTCTTTAAGCTAGATAAAATTCGTTTGAGTTCAATTGATCTAGCCACACAGGCTGCCATGAACCGAGTCTCCAACCATTCCCAAGTTAAGGTAGAAAAGTGAAGAGTGTGTACTTCCAGTAAAATATTGCGAGATAAAGTAGCAAACAACCATGACCTAACAGTCTGATCTATTTTTAGCCAGGAATGATACTCAGGGTTAGGGGCATCAAAAATTGTTTGGGGTGGGGCAAGGATGGATCCGTCAATAATCCCCAACAATCCATGAGAGACTAAAAATGATTCAAACTGCGTACGCCAGGGAAGATAATCCTCCACTTTATCCAAACGAGTAGTCACAATATTGGTAACATTGGGAGTAGAAAATGTTAACTGAGATGATAATTGGGATAAAGTGGAAGTAGTTACCGGAGTGGCAGTGTGCTCATATGTGGAGGAAGACTCGAAAGGCATGACACCCGGCTGGCCTGTGAACATGGGACCTGAATAGTGCGTGGGAAGAGGAGCTGCCGGACGGACTGATACAGTAGGCCGTTGGATGGAGGGCATAGTTGGCGTCCAAGAGAAGGGTTCCGACATATTAAACAGACGAAAAGATCCCAACGACGTAGAAGGCATTGTTAGCCGAGAGGACAACTGCGGTGACATGGTGACGCCGGGGGAGAAGTGCTGCTCCGTCGGTGCGGGCGCTGTAGGCGTGAGAGTAACCGGCACGGTGCTGGTGTTGATCGACGAAGAGCCGGATGTTGAAGTTGAGAGAATCGGCTGAGTAGTTGCAGGCGGCAACGAGGAGGGAGGTACGTGCGCCGCAGAAGGAGTAGTCGACATATTTTTCTAGGATGTAAAATCTAGGCTGCTGATACCATATGAGAGAATAATTGTGATGGAATGGCTTACCCAATAGGTAGCCCTAGGCATGTATTTATAATAATCAATATTAAGAGTAATTACATAAGAGTCCTTATAATTACACTATTAACCTTCTCACCTTCCGAGCAGCAACTCTCTCCAAGATTTCCTTCGCCCCTTCTTCTCCCACCGCGGCCAGCCGCCTCCTAACCACCGCGTCCGGCGGCGTCTGGGACTGCTCCACACATATTTTCTGCAGCAACGCCTCCACGGGCGGCGGCAGCGGCGGCTCTAGTGTGGTGACCTCTGACTGTGGAACTGGAAACTCCTTTGCTACTGGGTCCGCTTCCATTAACTTCATCAATTCTAGTGTCGTTTCTTTCCAAAATTATAAGAGTAAAGAATCTGTGTAGCCTTGGGAATCTAGAAATAGCTTCAAGCTTGTTGGAGTTTGGAAGTATCCATGTGGATGGATTATGGATTTAAGGACCCATTTGATTCGGCTGTGTTTAGAAAGGGAGGAGCTTTAATCGGGTAACAGAGAAAGAATATTTCCCCTATCATGTAACAAAAGTCATATGACATTTTGAATGCCAGCATTTAGTCATTACAACTAAATTATTGATTAATAAATTGAGAGTTTGAAGATTGAGAGTCACTTGTAAACAGTGACATCTTTATGTGAAAGTAAGGATTTCTTTGTTATCCAATCCCGGTGCAAAAAGGATATAGTCAAAGTGAAGCGCCATTGGCAAGTGAATGTCTTTCCGGTTGGTATAGATAGAAAATTAGAACACTTGCGCAACGGGTTTAGTGAGCAAACAACAGGCTTCTTGTGCTAAGTAGTGCTTTGGAATTTTGGATACTAGAAATGAGTTCAAGTCATTCAATATTGGTGACATGGGCACACTTATTGGGAAGTTATACCCTAATGATTTTTCTTGCTCAAGTAAAGATCAATTTGAGCATTATCAATTTGATGTGCCTAATCATCCCTCTGTAAAGAATATGTCAAATTCATGTTGAGGGATGGTTGAGACATGGAAGTTTGGAATTTATCATTTGAATAATAGATTGATTAGATTGCTTTTAACTTTTCCAGACTCAACAACAACTACGTAGCGATCATTTTCAGCGATGGAGGTATACAAAACAATACTTCAAAACAGGATGTAATATGTTTTTCGTATATATTCCATGGTTGCTTATATTGAAAAAGAAATTGTCGAAAGGATTCCCGTGAATATAATCATTGATGATTATATTATTTCAATAAGGAGGGATGTGCAAGACTCCAATAGAAAATGTATTTTAGTTGTTTTCTCTTCATTCAAAATGTAGGTAATTCTATTTTGTAGTGTTTGTTGTGTAACATTCTTTCGTACAACCACATATCGAGAAAACAATGAATTTTGTACTCATATTAAATTATATTCTTGTCCATTTAAAGGTTTCCATGTGATTTATGATGTTTGACTAGTCATAAAGTCAACTAATAATTGTCATTAGTAAGATTATTAGAAATTATATTAAAAATTTTATAAAACCAAAAATTAAAAACAAATTTGTAACTGAATAAAAACTTTTAAGTGGGAGGAAGATAGTATCATAGTACTAGCGTAACATTTTAGTACTCCTAGTTTTCATATAGTTAGGTCCTAGAAAGCTGACTGGAAAAGAGGGGACTTTCTCCTTTTGGATGGCTTTTGCGAGAGAGATTCTTGCGTGCTCATTACTCCGCATATCATAAACTCAATAGAGACGAATTATGAAGAAAAAAGCTGCTAAAAGTAATGCTGGACTTAAAATTCCATTATGAAATCATACATCATATCCCACCAATAGAAGTAAGAGTGTTGTTAGAGGTACACAAAATGTCTACACATGTCTGTCCTTCATAGAAATTTTGTCTGTCACAGACAACTCATTTTGAATTGTCTGTGACAGACAAAATTTATGTAAAGGACAGACATGTGTACACATTTTATGTACACATTTTGTGTACCTCAAGCATTTTTCATAGAAGTAATGCTAGACTCGATAGAAGTCGTCATTTTGTATTGAATTATTGAGGGAAGTGGTAACATTGGCCACATATATTCCATTATGAAATCATACAGCATATCCCACCAATTAAAGGACTTATTTCATCTTTTAACTTGAATGAAAGCATAATTATGATCACTGCGATACTTAAACTGAAAATGTTCATAGTAAGTAAAAATTAATTCTCCGTAGATCACTTTTGTATCCATCATGCTAATTTTAATCATATATTAGGAATAATATCATTTAAAGTGTTGTATTTCGAATGAAAAGAAAAATATACAGAGTACATCTCTACAATTCTATAAACACGAATAATGTTAGGGGTATAACGGTCATATAAAAAGTGTTGGTGTCTCCTTGTGCATTAACCACTTGTACGGAATGCCTAATTTACTTCCCCTAAATCAAACGGCAAGCACAAGACTGACGGAATCCTTCGGCTTACACTTGATTGAATGTGTATCCACCGCATCTGTTAGGCTTCCTTTACTCACCATTGCTTTTGCCAGACCTCCATCCTCTACGTTTTTTTTGTTTAGAGTGGTTAAGGGGTCGCCCTGATACTAGAAGAGTGAAGAACCCAAGAAGAAGGTTCCTGGGTTTGGGAATTCGGGTACACATCAGGCAAGATTCCGTCAAAAATGTGTTTAGACTGGGATTGATCGTAACTCTTTTTTAATACTCCCTATGTATTGCAAGAAAAATGCCCTGGGACGAGCCCCCCTTCCTCTACCCCTGGTGGAGAAGCTGCAATAGCCAACAGTGCAGATGCAGCTACGGGGACTTGCCGCTGGCTTCTGGCGAGGTGGAGTAGTAAGCTTCTGTTTTGACATATTTATAACCATGAAAACCCCGTCTTCATGAATTTAAATCTCATTCCATATATGACTATTTTGTTACGGAGTATAAGGATATGTATATTACATAGTATTAAATACTCCGTACTTCTTTTAGTGCAGGTTATATGATGCCTGTTCTATGGTTTTGTATTGCCCAATTCTTTCATAAACTATTAAACTAGAAGTAAATATGTCCATATATTTTACTTTGGTTATAGGGACAATAGTATATTTGTTATGTTTTTTCAGGTATGCGCTATGCTTCATTACCATTCTTAAATGTTTATTTCTTTACCATGATGTTTGGTTGTTGACAATGTCACAAGTGATTATTATATTGCTACATGGTTATACTTGGTGCTACTCTTTATCAGGTTCTGTAATAGTGGGTTTCTTCTTTGATGTATATTGGTGAGCCATATTATATGGCTTATATTATCAGCCCAATTCATAAGTTTTTGCTTTTTTATTTTACATACACTATCCAAATTAGATAAGCATTTACTCTTATATTTGACATGGTTGTTTTCATACGTTCTGACTTCATATGTGAATTTGGATGCACTTACTATAGTAGATTTTTGTATGAAATGACATTAAGAATACTTTAGCACCTGTGCCATAACAGCAAGGCTCTGCTATACATGGGTTCATAAAGTGTTATCGTGATGGTGATATCATCATCATCGTTGTGTTAGAAAGCACACTCAGTAGGAAGTTGACTAGGAACAAGTCATGTAATAAGTTTTTTGGGAGTCATGGAGCTCTGTTCTTAGTTATGCTATTTTTGGGAGTCTGGGAGCTTGTGTATATTATGTTATTTAATTATATTGTGACTTATCTCTCCTTCATTTTTACAGAATTAGGGAAATACAAGGATATAATTTTAGAGCCCGTTTGGTAATACGAAAACGGCTGTATTAGCTATTCATATCCCAAACTTACATGCCAAATTATTTCAAGGATTAGTAGTTGCTTTACATATGTCTTATTGAGTGACGTTTCGTTATAGTGTTTCTCTTTTTGGTTAACGAACCATCTTTATCACAATTTCTAAATGTTGATAGTAGAAATCTGCAATACTTAAGTTTTTTCTACTTTGCATGCAATAGTACTGAATGCTCAGTTGCTTATAGTTTTTACAGCTAAAGAAATATGTATGGTTTTTACAGCTAAAGAAATATGTATAGTTTTTACAGCTAAAGAAATATGTACACATATTCATATTGTTTATTCTTTTCACAAGTTTGTGATGTTGTTTTTTATTTTTTCATCAAATTTGAGGGAAAAATGGCTGAATGGAAAATGCTAGGCTAAAGTTACCAAACGTGTTCTAGCAACCTCTTTATATATTAACCACAAATGAACAACTTTTCAAGAATGAAGAATATAAAAAGAGACCTCCCATGAAAACACCTACCAACTATTTTATTTGGAACTAAAATGTACAAGCATAACCATTTTATATTTAAAAAGTACATCATCAAATATAATTAACACAATAATCTCATATTTAGAAAGTGGGTTGGTTTACGAAATATGGCAATGTGTGAATTTTTGAATGCTTTTGAAAAATATGAAGTGATTTTATTTTAATCAAATGTAATGTTACTATTAGTGTTTGTTTAAAAGTTGACACCTTTTGTTAAAGATGAATGCAGATAATATACTATGTATAATTTTATTAAACTTTTAATTGCGTTTCACAACAATACTTTAGTGTATGTATGCTTTCTCTTTACTTTTTAAATTAATATGCTTGTAATGGTATTGGGCATTTACACGAACGCGCATAGCGCGTTTCTAAACTAGTTTTAAAATAAAAATGTATGTAAACAGTACATAGTATTATTCAGTTGCAGAACTGGCTACCATTCAACCTAAAAATTATTGGTAGTTGCATCAACTTAATATTGATGATGCCTTCTTACATGGCAACCTATGTGAAGAGGTTTATATGACTCCACCACAAGGATTATTTTTACCTCAATCCAACTTAGTGTGCAAACTACATAGTGCCTTTGTGGATTAAAACAAGAAGAAGACGAGGGAATAAAAAGCTCACTCATGATTTGATACACATGGGATATCATCAAAGATTTGCAAATTATTCTCTTTTCATTCGGAATTTGAGTTTTGCTTTTACTGCATTAGTCATCTATGTAGATGACATTATAGTGACAAGTAATGATTTTACTCATTTCATTTCATTTTCATTTACCCCATTACAGCGAAGGCTCCCACCTACGTTGGGGTCAGATATACGCAGACTTACCGCTGTACTAAAGTAAAGAGAGACTGTTTTCGGATGATCCATAGTGAAAATCGCGTCCAAAATTGCATGGATTGGTTGCTGCTTCATAACAAAGAAGCACAGACAATTTAGTGAGTCATTTTGATTTATTCCATCATATTTTCAAGCAAAAATAATAATGAATCTTTGGTTCCATTGCAAATGATGGAAAATATAATGATTTTACTGAGAATATAAATTGGTTTTTGGTTAAAAGAATCGCTTATGAGATTTGGCGGGGAGGCTCTTCACATTCTCGAAATTTTACGAGGTATTGATTAATAATCTAAATCTCATATAATATGTTGTGAACTAAATTGTTATGATGGCTTTTATTCGTTTGTATGAGAAAGTGCAGGGGTCCAACAATTGTGGCATTAGGATGGCGCAATTTAAGCTTCTACAGGTAGAGCGACAATTATTTTTCCTGAAGGATGGCGCAATGCCGGACTAGCTAGTTTTTTTGTTGCTTATCAAAAGTTTTTGGACATTTATCTTTTGAAGAGAAGGCATTTTGAAATTGAGATGAACCTTAGGGATTGTGACATATTATAGCATAACATAATAACATTTCTTCATCTCAACCTGACTTGCAAGTGTACTAGGGAAATTCTTCAGACTTTGATACTGAAGTTTTGGATATCTAGGGAAGCTTTTC